CGCGTCTTTTCAAAACGTATTAGAGAACACTAATCAGTATGACTGCAAAAAGAGAAGGCACCGGTTCAATCAGAATTGCCATAAATGAACATTTGATCAACATTTCCAACATCATCTCAACTAGTTTACACAAATTCATTTACAAAGTAAACAAAAATCTACCAAAAGCAGTATGTTTCCAACTTCTCTGTACTGCGAAATCCCTTACAATATGTATCGAAAAGCCGGAGCCGTGTATTCAGAAGAAACTAGTCCAACCTTTACAACAACTACCATGGACCTAGTTCAGTATGTTCCCATAGCCTTCGGTTTTTTTCTTTTGTTTTGTTCACTGCGTATTTTTTCTCCCTTTGTCCTCATTCAATTCATCTCATTGTTTTTTTTCATTTATAAGAAGAGTTATTTCAAGTTTGCCCCCATGCTCTCTGTGCTCACACTTGTAATTTGTTTGCAATTACATTCTAATCGTATGTAATTTTTGTAATTTAGATATTCACACCTCCTAGCTTCCATTTCAAGGTGAAAATTATTATTATTTCAATTTTTTCAATGCTCATTTTCTTTTCATCTGTAATTCGTTCTAATCCTGGGGAATTTTTTGTTTCTAAGCCTCTCATAATCCATATCAAGTTAAAGAGTAATTCAAGTGTTGGTTTGTAGGGATTTGATTGGTTTCAGGATTTCATCATGAGCTGACATTAGTTAGAGAACCATTGGAAAACCCGGGAGTACTGGACAACTGTTTCGTCCTAGTTTGGGACTCTTCAGCAGTGCGCACCCACCAGTACTCCCAGGTTGTCCAATGGTTCTCTAACTAATGTCAGCCCATGATGAAATCCTGAAATCAATCAAATCCCTACAAACCAACACTTGAATACCAATGAGATGCTCACTGGCGACTGGCCCTATTCAGGTACGTAGTTACCCGGGTTCCAGTGGGAAGTCGTGACCAGTAGGGTGCAGCTGGTCGGGTGTGAGGACAAATACTCGCCGAAGACATTGGCTAGCGGTCGCGCTATGTCGTGAATTGGCAGAAGTTAGAATTCAAGGCCCATTGGATCGGGTCCCAGTGGCTTAATGGTATACGAGCTGGCAATGTAACCGGAAGGTCCTGGATTCGAGTCCCGGTGGGTGCCCACTGCTGAAGAGTCCCAAACTAGGACGAAACAGCTGTCCAGTACTCCCAGGTTTTCCAATGGTTCTCTAACTAATGTCAGCTCATGATGAAATCCTAAAGAGTAATTGTCACCTTTTTATTCGCCTTCGTAATTATGCGGAATTAAATAATAATAATAATTGTATCTATGTAAATTAATCTATTTAAATAGGGTTGTACAGCTTCTGAAAATGAAATCGCTCAAAAAAGATATCTTCGCTGAACTTCGTGTTCTCTTCTTTCTAATGTCCTAATGAGGGTTGTATTTTTTTTCCACAATCTTCTCAACATCACTCATATTACGTCAATATTGAGTGAGAGATAGAATACAAAAATATATTGTCAAAGACAATTAACAACTTCACACCTTCCATGTTCAATAGCCATATCCTACAGGAAATAGCCAACTGTCTAACAGTACTACACACATCCTTTGATCGATAGTAGGATATGACGTCTCCACTAGAGATTGTATCAGTTGACAAATGTCATACAAGCCTTTTGTATCCATGCTGAGAACTTATTAGCAATCAACCCATTAGGGTTGATATGTCTTCTCAATGAATATAACTATTTCATGCATTTATTCGCCTTGATGAATTTGAATAAAGCAAGAAGAACAGTGTGGTTTGTGCGGAATAATATGGTACCATCCTGTGTTTATTTCGTTGACTTCTCATCAGCTCAGCTGCTTACAGCCTAAATAAATTATGAGGTTTAAGTACAGAAAAGTTTTAACATACTTGCAAATTTTTTACATGTTGTCAGTTAACAGAAAGTCCCACAATCAGTAAACAGTGCTCAAAAAATTGCGCTCATAATAGTTTTTACACAGGCAATTCAAGTTTATACAAAATAAATGTATCCATATAATGGTAAAGGAGTTACGTTATAAAGACGAGATATGCGTTAGATACAGAGCGATTAATAAATGAGGTAACAATGTACTGAGTTCAACTCAAATCATAGAAACAAGAGACAAGCAAAATTACAGATTATAAAAGGAGGGTTAGGTTAAAGGCAAAGATTACGTAATCAAGTGAGAGAATAAAGACATCCAGTTACCAAGGCAAGGAAACACTAATAACTGCTTCTTACTGAACACATAAATCTAGTTCCAAGCGTTTGATAAAAATTGCTTCGGCAAACTTGAGGAGAATGGAGCTCCTTTGTCTATTCATAATTTTAAAGGATTTCTCGATTTTCACCTCATGACCCGTGTCGAGGAGATGTCCGGTAATAGCGCTACTACAAGAGTTTGTTGCCTTGAGACGTAGGCTTTTCGGCACATGATCAGGAAATCGGATGTGCGCCATTCTTACCGTTCTCCCAACGTAACTGTCCCCGCAGATGCACGTAAATTTGTATTCATTTTGGAGTTAACATGAGGAGGGTATCTGACGAATTTTGACTGAACCAAAGAGCATGTTGTCCGATCGACAGGAACCAACTTAACTGCAGGATAGGCTCTGGCTAGTGATGTTTTCAGTCTTCTGTTGACGATTTCTGCAATGTCTTCACCTTTAAAACTAGTTAAATGAAGATAAACTTTTTCTCAACTGTGATTTGTTTGATATTTGAGTCTTCACATCTTCCATATTTGTCAAAGAATCTTTGAAGATAACCATTGTTTTTCAGCACCTTTCCGAGAATCATAAATTTTTCCTCTAGCTTCTCTGTACAGCATATTCTCCTCGCTCTATAGTACAGAGTCTTGACTAGTGCTCGTTTTTATAACTATTTGGACAAAAACTATTAAAATGTAAGTATTGTCCATTTCATATGGGCTTTCGGTAAATTGACTGTTATTCATCTTGGCAGACACATTAGTCAGTTCATGAGATTTTGACAGATTCTTAAACAAATTTCAACATACACTCCTGTTTAGTAGATTTTATATTTGCAATTAGTAAATCTCCAATCACGAACTAGAAGAAATTGTTCACCATCCTACAGGAGCAAGTTTAACGCGCGCACACACACACACAGGTAAAATTCTTCGATATCAATAGATTTGATTACGAACCACTAAAAAACCAGCAAAAAGTGCTGGAAAGCTATTTCGTCCCAGTTTTCGACTCTACAGAAGTACCCACCACACACCGGGTTTCAAATCCAGGAGCTACCAGTGACAAAGTGAGCTCGTCAATGATATTTTCGCCACTGGTATTCTACGCATCACCTGATAATTAATCTGATGCTCACTAGTGACTGGCTCTGTAGAGAAAGTCACCTAGTATTCCAGTACTAGAAGTCGTAATACGCAAAGTTAGGCCAACAGGATAGTTACCGCTGTGCAAGCTGTCTGCTACTAGCCAAAATTGTAGACACCAATTTACGTCAATGTTTACGTCCCGAATCAGGGTCACGAGATTAAACAACAAGAACAACAACAAAGCCTAATCTTGAGGAACCCAACAACCAACAACAGGCGACTTAGCGTATGCAAATACGATTCGCGGGTATATCACCAGACTGTCTAAGATACGGCAACAAAGAAAATGACAGAATAACCTACAGCAAGAGAACAACCAATCAGAGGAAGTTGCTTCCCTGATAAAAAATAACGAATAATAATATACATAAAAATCTAAATATCTCTTGATTTTCACAATAAACGATCTGTTGCTTGACTTCTGTCGTTACATTACTAGCCTGTGACATTAGCAGAAGTTGAAATTCATAGACCACTGATGAGTCGGGTCCGAGTAGCTGAACTATCTACAAGGAAGCCTTGTTTGTAACTGGAAAGTCCCCGAAGATTCCTAAACTGGGACGTAGGAAACAGCTGACCAGTACTCTCTGAAATTTTTTCAGTGTTTCGCAATCGAACCCATCTGTCTTGCTGGTGATGCCTGTTGTCCAATTCGGCAGAGGATCCAGACGTTAAATGCTCCTATATGAAGTTGGCGACGTGGCTTTAAAAGGCTACCTGGGGTGTTTCTATGGCTATCACTGTTGTTTGTGGTCACAGAGTGAAGTGGAGGTGACTCACTAGCCTGCAGAATAGTACAAATTGTAGTAGAGAAGCAAGATGAGGAAGGTGATGTGAGTAAAGGATAACTTCGTGTGCTTTTGGAAATGTGTGGGCGGTTTTTACTTCCAGGCTGTCCACACCGTGGAAGTTAATTGATTCTTCGGGTACCTGAAACAGAGAGGGTTAGTGTTGCGTGACTGCAGCGCCGGTCACACACGGCCTGTATGAACTGGTTTCTGGGATTGGTTCCGTATTAGTAAACTTACCGCCGGTTACGGACTACCGTAGGGTAAGTCGGGATGTACAATTTTTAGGGTCGACATTTTCTAACCCCCTCTCTTCGGAGTAAAGAGACAGCATAGCTGACCGGCATGCTACTCATCTGAGGGAAACACCTCACTGCTGTCACACTCCTGTACTCCCCAGCAGTACGACTTCTCCTTCAGACGCCCAACATCATGTAAGAAAGATTCTTACACAATGCCGGTAACTGCTTTTAGTCTAATCACTATCCTAACAACCTTCCTGGCATGGTAGGTAGGATCTGCAGGAACACTGGTTCCAGCCAGCGTAGCTTGCTGGGTCATCGCGATGTGCAAGCCCGACCACTACGTCAAGGTAGTAGCTATAGATCGGGGCAATCGAACCGAAAATCAGTCAAATCCCAAGAAGCCAATAGCTGGCACTATTCAACTTCACATTTGGAGGATGGACCGGGGTGGGAGGGGGGGGCAGAGTCACACTGAAGTGATGATTCAGCGTTCAATTAACGAACGAGGCACCTTTTATCAATATAACCTAGTTTCTACGCCTATTACTTTTAGATTATAAAGAGAGAGAGAGAGACAAAACAAGAACAACACAACTATGGAGAAAACTCAATGATTTAATAAAATAAAATGTAAATTAAATTAAATCATTATTATGACTAGTAAGATGAAAACAGAAAAAAACATAGAGAGAGAGAGAGGAGATGGAAATTTAAAAAACAAAAACAAAGTAAAAGACGATAAACTTGTTTCCTTTTTACGACAGCAGAGTGGAGATGGAAAAGGGCAAGGGAAACATCACGACGTATCCATCCCACCATCGACAATACAATAAACAGTAATTTACACTGAAGAAGAAGGGGGAAGAAGAAGTCGTCGAAGAAGACGAGAAATAAATAGAAGCGTTAACACAAATAATTAAAAACAAAACTGTTTACGACAATAAACATACGCCTAATAGGTGGGTTGACTAACAACACAGATTGCGCAACAAGGTAGGCAAAGTGAGTGTATATGTATGCATATGTATAACACAAGAATCATTACCACCAGAGTATTTCTGTATATTGTTTGTCTGTGAGTGCTCATCATCATCACCGTCCTCCATCTATCGACTTTCAAAAGGAATACACAAAAATAAAGACAATAAATCATATAATAGACACGAAAGTCAAAATGTAGATAGATGGATGGATAGGAAAGGAAATACAAAAAATACACCACCACCACAACTGTCAACCACCTCGCCTTCTTCTCTTTACACTAAAACCTGTCCTATTTTAACAAAAATTGTTCCACTTAAACAACAATATAAATACAATGAAGATGAAAGGGGAAAACAAAATAAGTCAATAAAATTGAGCAGATAAATGTTTATAAGTATATGTATCTATATATAGGCATGTATGTGTGTGTGCGTGCGTGTGTGTGTACGTTATTCTTCTACAAACAGAAACAGACAGGGGAGAAGGGATAATAATTCACAAACTTCACATCGAAAGGCTCTCTGCATCTCTCGGTCACACACACTCTCTCTCTCTCTATCTTGTTGTCGCTAACCATACGCATTTCACATGCATACCGCTAACAACTAATGAATAATTAATCCGATAGCTAGCCAGGATAAACAAAAAGCAACACAAAACCTAATTTTATTCACAGAGAGAAAACAAAGCAGAAAAAAGACAAAAGAATGTGACGATCTACAACAACACAACACGACACGACACAACAGCATGACAACAGATACCAGTACACAAAATAAATAATGGTGATAATAGTGGTGGTAGGTATCAGTACTTGTTTTTGTGGTTTGATGTTGCTACTGATGTGATAGAAATAAGACGAAAAATGCTGCATTATTCATGAGGCACTTGATGATGATGCAGATGATGCAGATCTGTAGTATTCAGGAGAGGAATGACCTTGTACAGCGCTTTCAGTTAAAATCACAGTTGAAATATCTGATCCAGGTACATCATAACGTGCTTGAAGAAGAAGACTTTCCTAGAGAGAGAGAAAGAGAGGAAAGAGAAGTTTACGCGGTTAAAAAAAAAGACGATCTTGAGTAAAGTTAAATTATAACAGCCAAAACTACAGTGACCTCGAACAAGACAATCAGAATTCAGCTGCAAAATTAAGTCTCATAATCGTTGCAAAATACGCTAAAAAATATTTATTTCAAACATGACAATACACTGTATAGTTGTAGGTTATGTGTTGTGAGAATGCCTTCCAGTCGCTACACAGATAGTTCTCTAGAGAAAACGTACCGTGCCCGACACGTTCATCCATCCAGGTGACTGTAGGTCATAGTGTAACAACAGAAGACAAGGGCCAGGCAACAGATCGTTTTATTACGGAAATCAACACGTATTTATATAAATTTCACATACATTATTATAGCCTAGTCAAGTAGACAAACGCAGTCTTCTGATTGGTTGTTTTCGAGTTCCTCAGACGGAAAGTGGAGCCATCTATCTGCGAATCATATTTGCCCACGTTTAAGTTTCCTGTGATTGGTTGTTGAAACAGCCTTGTTCATACTTTCTCACACCCCATATTAGTGACCTAGACATTGACGTAGATTAATGTCAACCAATTGGCTAACAGGCTGCTCTCACCACAATAGTACTTTGATATCCATTGATATTTCTGAAACTATTCTTCAACCTACTTCTAACTCTAACCATAATCCTAATATTAGCCCTAAACCTAATCATAACCCTAGACCATGAACCTTAATCTGAAAAGTCATAAACCAACATAACAGTACCTAATTATGTGAATTCTTAGAATTATAGCTTCGTTCCACCCATATTAGTTTGTTTATTAGATGTATCACACAGTGATGAAACAGTATTATTATTTACTGAATGACACAGTTTCGAACAAAATTTATTATTGTTCATAATCATTTCATCATTTAAAATCACACGACTTCGATAATTGAGTTTTATAGTTTTCTTTGTCTTCTCCTATTTGTCGTTGGGGTATTAGAATTTTCCAGATATCTGGGTGGACAGGTGTTGAATCATTCCTATTACATGTATTTACATGTCTATTTTCCTCGGCTCTTTTAAATGACAATGCATAGAAATACAATCTGATCTGCATACGGTTATTGTTTTGAATTTTACTATTTTTAGGTCAAGTTTTTCATCCAGAATTTCTCTTAGTTTTTCCAGGATTTTTCTTCCTTCACGTTCCCCAGTGAAACATAGGCTTCAAGCTAGTGGCTTAAAGTTTCTGTAGCAATGTTTATTTTTTTTACAGGATGGGGTTGCTAGCGTCATGCCCAACCTTTCTTCTGTACCAGCATCATTTCTGGCTTAGCGAGGTAAAGGAGTGCGTCCAGGGGCCGGATATCGAACCCCAGATCATGTGCATGGTCGGCGAGCGTCGTAACCGCTGTGCCACCGACACACTGAAATGACAAACATACTGATAGACAATACTATGACTTTAAAAATAATATTTTGAGAATAATTTGATTCCTAATAGTCATAACTAGATAATAGAATATCTTTACAGGTTAGACAACAAACATAAGTGTATTGTTAATGTAGACTTCTTGTGTAATATCGCATATATTACTACTTGACTATATAAAACCACTTGTTGGATCTAAATTATCCGCAAGATGTGTTGTGTATGTTTGAGCCTTCCTTGATGAGTAATGTTAGTCGACAAGTGACTACAGTTGGAAAAAGGGTTACACAGATCAGTCCATAAAATCTTTGCAAATTAGTTTGAGTCATGAAGAGAGATGTAAACTGCATAGGTTACGGTCCTCGACTAATGACTTGAGAATGTTAATATGGCTAAAAATCATTTCACAATAGCCCAGATACATTCACTGTTTGTAATCTTCGAGGTTGGCTAAACATTTCTGTTATTTACAGGTTTCTGCTTATTATTGTTTCTTTTAAATCTGTCTTTCTCTCTTATGCGCCTTTATGTGCTACACATAGATTGTGGCCAACTGTGAACTGGTGCACTTCTGTGCTAAGTTATACGCTGAAATCGTGCAGTTAGTCAGTATAGCAGAAGAAAGCAATATATATTTAATTGCTCGCAACACTTCCCAAATGTTTAGAATTGACTGACAGCTTTCAACGTAGAAATTTTGCACAGATGTACACCAGTTTGAGTTGACACACTCCACCCTCTCCTTGTAGTATACAAAGCAAGAGGAGACAGTAAAGACAGATTCAAAAGAGAAAGAAAGAGAGAGAGGTTAAAAAAACAGAAATATGAAGCAAAAACAGTAGTAACATGGAAGACAATAGAATTTTATTGGATATGACGCCACAAAGAGTGAATGCATCTGCTCCACTGAGAACGATTTTGAGCCATTTCACCAATTGTCTACAACCTCCAATGGATTTTACCATCTCGAAACCCCAACCAGACAACAGTCTACACCATCCGACGTGACTGACTGGCTTAAACTAACTGTTGTAGATCTTACTGACAATGAAATCGTCTCTTTTCGTTTGACCACCACTAGCTAACTCTTCACAACTTCATCCATCCCATGTCAGCAGCTAACATTGACCACCGGTCGAGGAAGGTGATCAACGGATAGACTAGCCATGCGTAACACATGTCCTAACCATCTCTGTCAATCCACATAACTTCACAACCTTGTCAATAGATTGATTTCCCCTCCTGCTTTCATACCTAACACTCACTAGACCCCTAATCTCAGTATTGATCACCCTACACTACCACTTGACACGGAAGATAGGACTCAGGCACCTATGATCAAAGACAACTAGCTGGCCTTTTCATGTCTTCCACTCTCAATGGCAATATCTCACAGTCATAAAGTAAAGGAAGACGGAACGAACTCCTGAGCACTACACAAGCCCTTTGATCGTCAGCCAACTGAATATCACGTCTACTAAGCCAGAGATGGAGTAATTTGGCAGACATATACTAAACGAGCCTTCTGTATCTGTGCTGACATTTCGTCAGAGATCAACCTGCTAACATTGGCTGACTCAACTTCCCAAATAAGTGAAGTGGTCAACACGGTCCCTAGCTTTAAGCTACGAGTCAATATAGTCTAGTCCTGTAGCATCATCTTACATTTCGCGGGAGCAAATCTAGAATTTGACCCCAAGGGTAAAATTGGCTGAAAGTTAAGTACTGCTTAAGCCAAAGAACTATATATATATACTATAAAAATTAATTCACACAATCAACACACCTATTTACTCAATCATGTACAAATTGACATTACAATTAATAAAAATACAATATACAAACATAAAGATCATATTGACAAATATAACACGAAAAAAGAAATACTGAACATTTAAGGACAAGGTGTTATAGAAAAGTCTAAAGATTGAATGGCCTCACTAGATATATTTTACCCTTACAACATACGAAAGAATACATCATAGAGAGAAAAGTAAAAATAAGTCAATGAAAATACAGTAAATACAGTTCACGATCAATAACATAATATAATATAATATTAAAAAATTCACTTAAGACCGAAAAAACGAAAAAGGTTTTCCTTGGTTTTCAATCCTTCTCTCTAACTGATATCAATCTGTGGTCTAACCTGAAACAAATAGAATCCCTACATTAACCGATTTTTGAAAATTAATCTGAAGCTCGCTAGTGACTGGTTCCTATTTTAGTGAGAACTCCTGGCCAGTACGATCCATCCAGTCAGGTGTGACAATGGAGTTCCAACCGATGACATTGGATGGTAATCGTGGTAAATGCATCATGAATTGGTATAAGTTAGGAATCATAGGCTGTCTATTGAATCGGCGGGTCCCAGTGACTGAAAGGTCGTCAACCACAGCTTGCCTTGTAACCAGAAAGTCCTGAGTTCGAACCCCCCACACTAGGATGAAGCAGATGTCTGGCAGTACTCCCTGTTAGAATTTAATTGGAGGATGGTGAGTAGCAGTGGAATCCAGGAGAACGCGCATTTCGTCCCACTTGGGACTGGTCAACTGGATGTATCTGCATTTCCCAGAGGACGAGTTCCAAATAGGACAAAATGCGGATCCTGACTGGATTCCACTTCTAGTCACCGCCAATCAATTGATATCAAGTTACACGACCAGACAATCTCGAAGCATCTGCACAAAGAGTTGATATATCAACCTGAGGCCGAGCACTTCGGTCGAATCAATCGACGGGAAAATCTAAAATTCAATTAAAAAAGTACTCCCTATTAGCTTCTAATGGTTCTCTAACTGACATCAATTCATAATCTAGCCTAAACTTTAATTGTTAAGTGCATGAATGATCTTATTTGTTAATAATTCAATTTTAATTTTCTCATTGACTGATTAGACTGGAATGCTTAGCCTCTGTTGTGATAAGTCAGCTTCTAGCACGGACGCTTCAACGATGTCTAAGGATTAACATGAAGTAATTTTGGTAAATAACAGTTTCAAATGTACCTGAATTCCAAGTGAGTGATATAGTGTATCCTCTTCACTGAGAGACACTTGAATTCAGGTACCTATCGTTTAAAACATAGAGAAGCGTTATCTCCACTACGCCAATTGGTTCACAACAACCATCTCTTGTACAACGAGTGTACCTATTACTACTTGTTTTTAATTTAATTGTGATTAATTAAACTGAAATATTCAGTCTGACTCCATTATGGATAAAATTTTATTTTGATAAAGTCTTACACAGTGTTGTTGTACAGTAATATTAACTGATGACCACCTTTCGAGCACAAACTATTGCCACTCAGTATCATATCAAGTCACTACTTACCAGATATTTGAATAAAAATTAATATGTGATAATGTACATTCAGAAATAATAGTAATAATATGAGTGTTATTGATCAATTACAATCAGATGGCAAATAAGATGAGTGTTTTTTATAGTCAAAATAAATAAGTAACTTGTTAGAATGTTATGATGTGCTTCAATTGAAATAGAATTTTAAGATAACTTATTATCCTCTTCTGATTTGACTGACTGGTGGTAATAATATCTTCCATATTTCT